TCTGTGAGTTGGAGGGCACTACCACACAGAGAGAAAACATATGTAGATATATACGCCAAAACCCATTTCTGTAACTGTCCTCATTGATGTTGGTTTTGTCAATGCCTAACCCTAACCCTAACCCTCCAACTGGTTCAGAAGCAGCAGCTCGGCTCCTCACTGGTTTAACATCAACACACGACCCTGTTTGACTTTTCTTCACTGGCTCCTGTGGGTTTTAGAATCGATTTGAACAGTTTACTGATCACTTTTAAAGCTCGTTTAGGTCTTGCACCAAGTTACATTTCAAAACTTTTAACCCGTCCGTGCTTCCCACAGCATCAGATCCAGTCCAGACTCCAGATGAAGGTGATGGAGTCTTCAGTCCTGGCGCCTCGGCTTTGGAACAACCTGCCTGAGGAGAAAAGACTCACACCATCATTATTATCTTTTAAATCACCTCTTGAAGATATTTTTGTTGGTTGGCCTTCCCTTAACCCTTGTATATGTTGATAAAAAATTACATTGATTATGTTGCGGGTTGTTTTGATCCGTACATTGTAAATCCATGCAAAACAGTAAAAAAAACAGGTTAAACCAATAACATCTTTATTTTAGATGATATGAACATTTAGAAAAGAGACAAACAATAACTTTTTAATTTCAACAGAACTATTTAAGAACAATTTAAAGTGTTCCCTCTTCACTTTTTTTTTTGTGTGTCATTTGACTTGCTTCATTTTCAATGTTCAACAATGTTCACCCATTTATCCCATACATCTCTGATCGCAGCTAATTTGTCTCTTTCACGTGGACCAGCTCTGGTGTCACGATTGTCAAATCAGATCACACGAGATATCATGTGGAATGTCTCCAGAGACATTGCAGCTCGAAAGATTGGCCTTCCATTTTCTTCATTCCACAGACTTGTAGTTGCTTCTCCTTTTGACCTGTTCACTCCAAAATGACCCACATCATCTTTGTATAAAACTCTGCACAGACATTGTAGTACACATCAAAGAGTCCAGATTTCACACACGAGTTCATGACCCAAGATGAGAAAAAGTCACAAAATTGTAGGAAGAAAAAAAATGGATCAACAGTACTTTGGTCAAAACAAAAACTGAAATGGGTCAAGTTGACCCGTAACATAATACAAGGGTTAAGTGGTTTGATTATATTCCTTATTTCTTTTTATTCTTTTTTTAAAATTATTATTATTTAATGATTATAATGAATTGGTTTGTTTGCATCATTGTCTGTCTCTGTTTTTGTGTTTTCTCTGTGTTATTTTTATGCTTTTTGTATTATTCTTTGTAAATCTTGTTTTTAAAAGTGCTTTATAAGAAATATTTATGATTATTATTATTATAAAATACAGAAAAATGTTCACAGATGAAGAGATGATAATGCAATAAAATTCACAGAAACACAGGTGGCTGATGCTCAATCTCGACATGCACTGGTGATGGAAGAGAGCGCTCACAGACGGATACTAACATTGTGTCCTTAGGCAAGACACTTAACCCGCTTCACCCCCAGCGTCTGTGTGCACTGGTGTATATATGTGTGTGTATGCGTGAGTGATTTCTTGATGTAGACACGTGTTCATCAGATGTGACCACAGTTTTATCTCGTTAGGTCCTTGTTCCGTTTGGGCGACACTCACATGAGCCTAAACCTGATGCCCTGTTGTCTCTGTGGCGCGCGCTGGTCCACGGAGGTGAGAGCAGGTAAAGCCCAGGAGCCGTGCCCTGGTAGGAGCACTGCCCCCCCCCCCCCTCCTCCTCCTCGCTCGGGTCACATTACAGGCACCGGCTCCAAAATGCCACAATCCATTAGCATGAATAATGGATGAATATAATGAATAATTCTGTTTCCCAACCACAGGGACGGGGACAGGGACAGGGACAGGGGACCGGGACGGGGACAGGGACGGGGACAGGGATGGGGACAGGGATGGGGACAGGGACGGGGACAGGGCAGGTACCACACAGAGGGGACAGGGTTTGATCGTTTAGAGAGGATATGGGGCTAGTGTTGTCATGATACTAACATTTCCAACTCAATTTCGATACTAAGACTGTAATACTCAATGCTGATTCTGATACTATAAAAACACTCTTTCTTTAGACAAAATAATTTTCAGCATTAAATCATAATACTTTCTTTTATATTAGCATGTGTCCTTCTATCTCTATAATCCCTCAGTGGTGCAGTAGGTTCATGTTGGTGCATGTGTGTACTAGTCTATGTGCTCTGACACTTGTTCTGATACAGCTCAACATCATTCTAAACTCTTATTTGAGTAGTAGTTTTCCTGTGTATATATATATATTTTTTTATTCTTGGTGTACTACAGAGAGGCCACATCCAACACCTGCCACTGACCATCAACGGTGCTGCTGTGGAGAGAGTGAGCAGCGCTAAACTCCTGGAGGTGACATCATTGAGGAGATCTACTGGACCAACACTGCAGCTCTGGTGAAGAAAGACCAGCAGCTCCTCGACTAGGTACTTCCAGTGGCTGTGGACTGACATGAGCATGTGCAGTAGTGCTTTTTCTCCAGCGGGCACATACGAATGCACGCGACCACACGCACGGAGCGCGGGCTCGTGTATCACGTGATCGCTTTGACCAATCAGAGCGAGAGGAGCGGAGCGGAGCCGGAGCTAACAAATATAAAGTGTTTTTTAAGACAGCTGAAGGATTTTGAGCGAGAAAAAGTTTAAGATCTAAAAATAGGTAAAAATTGTCAGTTCTTGTGGACGTGTTTAAATCATGAACTTTAAACTGAATCTCATTCTTCAAACATAAACGACAAATGAAATCATTGCTCATATAAAGTGGCTCAGTCGTACATGAAGACATCTCCATCATGTCTCTGCTCATGTTGCTATGGCGATAGCTTCTCGTCATGTATTCCTGGAGCTCGTTCATATTTCTTCTTCTTGCTGGGGTCAATAGTCACTTGAGATGTTTAATGTTGATGCATTGGCTTAAGTCATTAGGCTAATCACATTGAGCTGCATGAGGAACGGCTCGCTGCATTCTGACTCTGTTCTCTAGGCCTTTCCGTCAAAACACTGAAACCAATGTAAAGTTTGTTTTTATGGATTGAAAGTTGAATTTAAATCCAATATTATGCAAAATAGTTCAGCATTGTGTACAAGTCCCTCCTTAAAGGGATAGTTTGGGTTTTTTGACATGAATCTGTGTGTCATCCCTGTGAGCAGTGTCGTGCATCCACACTGACTTACCCCCGACAGCGTCTGGTGAACCGAGATACTGGCCGTTTTGGTGTTGACGAAAGTAGTCCGGCAAGTTGGCTGGGGACACGAAAATAAAGCGTTTTTCTACTCAAAATGATATGTGTTCAAAAGAGTGATACATTTGCATCACAAAACCTTCATCCTCAAAAAAGTCAGACCTCATTATCACTTGGCACTATTTTCTCTCCGTTCGTATCACTGCAGACTGCCGCCAGGTGACAGCCGCACCTGGTTCACTTTGTTTACTTTGTTAGCGACAACATGTCTGATTATGACACCTACAATAAACACATTGCCTTTACCACAAAGCCAAGGGGAGATCTTTATGAACCCAAATATACTGATGCAGAAATTCATCAGATGGAGTTAGAACGGGCAGAGAGAGAGAGAAGAGAGACAGAGAAGTGATACAAGTTGAAGATGGAGTCACAGCTGGGAGGTGACCGCGAAACTGGCTACTGGCTTTGTTGTTGCTGTGGCCGAGAGGTTAAGGCGATGGGATCTTCCCATACAGGTTCAAATCCTGCCAGCATCATCTGTTTGAGTGAAGCATGGATTTGCTGATTATGCTCTGGCTGTCTTTCTTTCTTTTTGGCAATTAACCAGAAAAGTATTTGTTGCAATAATCACTGTAGATCATAGAGGTTTAGCTGGCTCCAATCCCCAGCATCTCCACTCAGCAGAGCTTTTATGGCACACTTTCCAGTGCAGAATCTTGAGTAGCAAAATTTGCATTCCTTGGTAAGTTCGTTCTGTAGAGATTTAGGGTATGAAGATCAGCACTGGAGCATATGATTAGCAGATATGAAGTTCAGTGCTCTGTCTCCATGTAAGATTTTACAAACTGCACCCTTTGAATGGAGCCTAAATCCAGCGCCTTAGCCCACGTAGCCACACTACCTCAGGGCTGACATGTTAAAATCAGTGTGTGCAGACAGTAATGTCAGTCAGATGGTTTGTTTTAAAGCAAATAAAAGCTAATATAAAATAAATAACCAGTTCAGAACATAGGGGATGTAGCTCAGTGGTAGAGAGCATGCTTTGCATGTATGAGGTCCTGGGCTCAAGCCCCAGCATCTTCAATTTGTCTTTATAGAATCAGACAAATTGTACTGCTGTGTTTAAACAACATTTGACATAAACTACTCATTGCCAGTCTCACATTTTCACTGCATTTGTCCAAAGATGTCATCTTGTAGTGGGCTTGTGGTTGAGGTGACAGATATTGTCTTTCAAACAGTCAACCACAGTCAGCCATGTGGGCTCAATTTGTCAATGGGTTAAATTCAACTTTTTACATGTTGTCTTTGCTGTGATTTTACTAGTCTCCACTTCTGTGGAAAGGAATAGTTCCAAAGAGAGTTGCAAATAAAGATGCATCACAGCAGTGGTGGGATTTCAACCCACACCCCCCAAGCCTATATCCAGCACCTTAGACCACTCAGCCTGACTACCTCAGGGCTGATTTTTACAATCGGTCTGTGCAGACAGTGACTCTTCCACAGAAATGTCACAATGTCAGTCAAATGTTTTGTTTTAAAGCAAATAAAAACACGCAACAGCTTGCGTCGTTGTTGCTGTGGCAGCGAGGTTAAGGCGACGAGCCCGAAATCCACTGGGATGATTCCATGCAGGTTTGAATCTTGCCAACGATGTCTATTTGAGTGAAGCAAGGATTTGTTGATTACACTTTCTTTCCAATCAGTTAACCAGAAAAGTCTCTGTTGTAATAATTACCAAAAAATACAGGGGATGTAGCTCAGCGGTAGAGTACGTTCTTTGCATGTGTGAGGACCTGGGTTCAATCCCCAGCATCTCCATTGTACAGAGCTTTTAAGACACACTTTCCATAATCTCAAGTAGCAAAAGTTGCATTCCTTGGTAAAGCCGTTCAGGGCATGAAGGGCAGCACTAGAGCGTATATTTAGCAGGTATGAAGTTCAGTGTTTTATCTCCATGATACGTTTTATAAATTGCACCCTTTGTATAGTGGTCTCAGTTTGCAAAAATGACATTGCTTGGACTTAGTTTGCTCATATGGAAAGGAAGGGGATGTAGCTCAGTGTAGAATGCATGCTTTGCATGTATGAGGTTCAACCCCCAGCATCACCAGTTTGTCTTTAGAGAATCAGACAAATTGTGCTTCTGTGTTTACGTGACATTTAATGTAAACGTTTCTTCCTTGTTTGTCATTCTCACATTTTCACTGTGTTTGTTCCAAAGATGTCATCTTGTAGTGGGCATGTGGTTAAGGCGACAGACTAGAAGTGCATAGAGCGATATTGTCTTTCTAACAATCAACCACAGCTCAATTTGTCACTGGGTTAAGTTCAAATGTTTACATGTTGTTTTCCCTGTGAGTTTACTAGTCTTGACTTCTGTGGAATAGCACACACATGCCACAGAGCCTGCCTTAGCTCAGCTTGGCATCAGACAGCCAATTGTCAATGGTGGGATTTGAACCCAAGCTTTAATCCAGCACCTTAGACCACTCGACCACACTACTGTGTAACCAAGAGTTCAGTATGACATGACTGTGTGAGGTCACTTTATGTGGTCTCTGGGAGGTTACCTTGATACTGGCTTTTTGTTTTGCTTGCTGACTTTCCTTCCATGGCTTTTGCTGCTAGGCATATGGCAGCACATGCTGGTCTCCAGTTATCTGCTTGTGACAGTCGAAACAGAGACACCGCCACAGTTCCTCTCAACGCCGCGCAGTCGCTGTACTTGATTATTAAAGTGACCAATAGGTCAAAGACATTGACCAGTCTTTCCCATATGGTCTAGCGGTCAGGATTCCTGGTTTTCACCCAGGTGGCCCGGGTTCAACTCCCGGTATGGGAATTCTTTTCTTTAAGGATCAACAGTAGTGGGTTACATGCACTCAATCATTCTCTGTCTTGTTATTGCTAACTATATGTTATTCTGATGTGATTTTGTTTGTATTTTGCTTGGAGTCATCATATCATTTCACTGACTGCTCTCACTATCAGATTTAGTGACTTGCGATGATGTTGCGATGGTGTTATAGTGGTTAGCATAGTTGACTTCCAAGCAGTTGATCCGGATTCAATTCCTGACCATCGCAATCTTTGACTGTGTGCAGTGGTGCTTTCCACATGTTGGGAGTACTCAGGTGTGTGGCAATCATTCCTTCCAAAATGTAACTCTCCACAGCTAGTGCACATTTACAGCTCTTAAGGTGATGTAACAGGACAGTTGAGTGTCAAAGGCTAGCACATTTTCCTTGGTTTTGCTGCACAAACCTCACAAAGTATCAAGAAAACAATGACCCTGGCGTGATTTGAACACATAACCTTCAGATCTGGAGTCAGACACCTGTCACAGAGTCTGAGGCAAGCTGTTGTAGTAGCAGTGACATCACATCCCATTCCACTGTAAGATCTATATGTGAAGACAGAAATCTGATGTGGCTGTGTTGTCACTATCCACAGGTTTATCAAATCATTTCAGTGTTGAGTGCCTCGATACCAACCCACATTGTCATTAATTAATCTATTGTTTCTGTTTCCTTTGACAGTGTCCCCTTTCTTAGCATGAATAAAGACTGATGGCTCATTGTAACGTGTTAAACATGCACATATTTCAATTATTCCCTTTACTGAGCATGAGTCCACGGCCCTCAATTGGCTCTCTGCTTCATCTGTGTTTAGAGATGTGGCCCTTGATGAAAAAAGTTTGGACACTCCTGTCATAGAGGTTTAGCTGGCTCCAATCCGCAGCATCTCCACTCAGCAGAACTTTTTTGGCACAATTTCCATTGCATAATCTCGAGTAGCAATAGTTGCATTCTTTAGTAAGTTCATTCTGTAGAGGTTTAGGATATGAAGATCAGCGCTGGAGCATATGATTAGCAGATATGAAGTTCAGTGTTCTATCTCCATGTAAGATTTTACAAACGGGACCCTTTGAATACTGGTCTCAATTTGCAAAAGTTACATTGTGTAACAGTGTCAACAGTTACTGTGTGGGTGTGTGTAATGAGGAATCATTAGGACAGTGATCAGAAAAGAGGGTCATAAGGGCCGTGATGCACACAGTGATAGGTATTTATATGTCACACACACACACACACACACACGCACACGCACACACACACACACACACACACACACACACACACACACACACACACACACACACACACACACACACACACACACATACTGTTCAATAATGATCAAATCCACCTTTATTTTGTGATTTACAAATAATGTCGATTGACTTGGGTTGTGAAATTTTGTGACTTTTAAAACTTTGTGAAACACTGCTGTAGGCTAAGACCAAATCCTCCTCAGCAAACATAAAACATGAAAAACACATAAGATAAACCTAAAACTGGGTCAATAATCAACAATATAATAAGTCAGAACCTGTTTCAGACCAGTATAAGTAACAGAGTGTATCAATATAAGTAACAGAGTGTCAGTGGCAGATGATCTGAGGATATGAATGATAAACTGAATAAGTTGAATGACATAAAATAACACAGACTGCAGCGCTGTACATCAGGATAACCAAACACCAGCAAGGTACTAGTTAAACAGTTATAAAAAACTAAAACCAATAGTGATCATCCTAAACTACACGGGGGGAAAAAAACAAATCATTTCTGGGGGTTGTAAAATATATTCAATCAACATAATTAAGTGAGAACTACTACTTATTTCACAGTAATGGACAAAATGTACTTATACTCATGTAGTAGAAGTGTTGAGTTTAATGATTCATTTGTAGAATTACCAACATGTTTAAAGGTTTTACAGTCGCTCCTCACAAAACCACAAATAGTTCTTCTAGATCAGTCCCTGCACTTGGCGGCTACAGATTTGGGCTGGGGCGACAGCAGCTCACTTGGTAAAAATGTTTGTCCATGGATCTGAAGGTTGGCAGTTTGAATCCTACTCTCCACAAAAAAAAAAACAAAAAAAAAAAAAAACATCATTGGTGAGTGGTCAGATCCACTGACCAACATGTTGTCTGGTGTGATTCCAACTCCCTCAGATGAATGCTGTTGCTGTGTCCTTGGGCAAAACACTTAACTCACCTTGCCCCCAGTGTGTGTGAGTGGTTCCATGTTGTAAAACACTTTGAGTCTTCAATCAAACTTTATGTATAGAGAACTTTTCATTCAAAAATGTAACACAAAGCTCTTGAAGGTGGAAAAGTGCTGTTCTTCAACAGTAAATACTAAACATATAATATTGACTTCATTATTTCATCACAGCAATGCAATTAATTATGAGAATATTTTATATATTTGACTTAATTTATTTACATAAATATGACTTCAAACTTTAAAAGAAATTGAGAAACAGTTACTCAGTTACTGACCATCAAGATGAAGACACATGAATTATGACTGTTAATGATGGTGGTAAGTAACTGAGTACATTTTACTCAATACTGATGAGTAAATTGTACCTGATATTACAACAGTAACATTGACTTAAAAAGTGTGAGTTCAAATTCTTACAGGATTTTTTCTGGTAAATCTTTCAAGTTGTTTTTTTTTCATGTGGGTAAAAGATCTCGGTGAAGGTGATGGCAGATTTCCACTACAGGGCTCTTTAATCTTTTAAATGGTGAAAAGTCCTCAAAATGGCGGCTATAACAGAAAGCTGAAACCAATAAAAGTGTGTTTAAACTTTTATTGTAGGATTTAAAAGACTCTTTCTTTATCTTTATTCTGTTCAGTGAGACAAACTACAACTACTAAATACATAAAGAACACACACATCACTGTCTGAATGTAAAGTGTGCTCTGTGTACATTCTCATTTCCTCTTCATAAACAGTTCCTTAGTCATCACCATAATTGACACGAGCTGCAGATTACACTGCTAAGAGTTGATCAAATGTCTCCCTCTAGTGGTGGAAGTGCAGCTAAACATCTCCACTAAAAATACCTGTACTTACATTGATTTCAGTCTAATCCACTTTATTTAGTTTCCAAAGGGCTTAGCAGACAAATACAAAAAATGAGAATAAATGAGAGTAAATCATCAATCAATCAATAAAAACAATACATAAAAAATATCAAAATGCATAAAGCTAAAATTTATAAAAGGCAAAGCAAGTTTATTTGTGTAGCACAATTCATACACAAAGTGATTAAAAGTGCTTTACAGAATAAGAAATACATTAAAATCACAATAAAAACAAAGCAAAACATAAATAATCATCATAAAATTAAAAAGAGAGAGAATGAATGAAAACCTGTCAGTCATGTGCAGTTGAACAGAAGTTTTTCAGGAAGACTGTTCCAGGTTTTAGTCGTGACTCTGGGCTCCAGCAGGAGTCGGTCCCTGAGCTCCTCACAGTGCACATGCTTCATATGACACTAACATGTCACAGATGTATAAAATAGGTTTCAAAAGAAGCTCTTCCTGGACCTCCAGAGGATAATACACTGTAGATCAAACTCAGTGGTGCTCTTTGGAAAAGGAAGTCAGTAAAAAGATGCAAAAAACAGACAAACTGTTTGTCTCCTGAGCAAAGCCAGAGGCTGAAACACATCAGGACTTTGTAAATTGTCCATTAAGACATGCCGTAAATTAATAAAGGCATTTTATTTTAAACAGTGAGTGCCTTGGGTTTTTTGCATCTTTTTATGTCACACATGTACTCGACCATGGAGAGACTTGTACAAACAGAGCCACTTTAAAGTCTCTGAGCCACAGGGGGCAAAACAAATAAAAAATTTAATAAAATACAATTAAAAACACAGAGGATCACACAACTCACATGGTGTTAAAAGCCAGAAAGTAAAAGTGGGTCTAGACTTAAAACTCTCCACT